CCACACACCCCTAACTGAAGGATATCGTAAACAGTAGACAATTAATGAATATCTGATTGATACTTAGTGCTAGAAGGATGGGGAATGAATAGCCTGGATGGTGAAATGGATGGACCAGGTAAAAAAGCAATGCAAGGCCTGGGCTTCAGGCTGCAACCCAGATCAGCAGCAAAGAGCCAGGCCTGAGGAGGATATCTCCCAAACGGAAGATGAGTTGGTGCAAACCAGGTTGTGACTGGAGGCTCCTGCTTTGGCAGCAACTGTGCTGATGGAAGATGAATGAAATTGTGCAGATCTCATTGACCTGGTTTAACGCCTGAAGAAGAGAGAAGTCTTTGCCTCTGCAATCGCTGTTTTTACAGTCTTGCCTTCGTCCTGATTGATGGTCTCCTGAGTAGCTCTTTCCCCAAACATCCATCTATACAGAATATTGTTAGGAGGGGGAGATATATTCCAGATCACACTTGGTAGTATATGTAGTTGCACCTCAGCTGGGCTGTAGGCAATTGTATACCAACTTTCATTTGCAGCATTTGAGAGAGAATAGAGAGAGTGTATAGAGAGAGACCTCTCTCTGCTGTGCCTCGGCCCTTCTCTGCTTTCTCCTGGTGTTTCAGATGCTTCCTGGGACTTCTGGGTCCATGCAATTGGCTCTTTTGGGTCTGTCTCTTTCTAGGGCCTCAGAAGCTTATACTGTAGTCTCAAAATTGCCATTGTTGGGCTTGAGTTCTGCCATAATAGCAGAGCTGCAAAGAACCTGGATGTTGCCCTGATTGTAGGTCTGGAGCATGGCTGAAGCATGGCACCTGGCCATGGGACTTAGCACAGAGCATGGAGCAGAATCGCTGGGCTTCCAGATTGCTGTTTTCCACTGTTCTGGCTGCAATACATCTTGGGTTGTGTGGCTATCCAGGCAGTTAAGCTTGCATCTAATCCACTCATGTATAACTCAGAACTTTGTTATCAAAACATGATATAAACAGTAAACAATACATGTAGGATCAACACTTAGTACTAAAAAGAAGGGGGATGGGTAAGCTGGATGGATGGTAGATGGGTGAGGTAAAAAAACAATGTAAGGCTAGACGTTCCTGCTGCAGTTCAGAGCAATAGCAAAGAACTAAGCCAGAGGAACATCTATTCTGAGCTGAAGAACTCTTGCAAAGCAGATCAAACGTGTTTCTGGCAGCAACTAATCAGTGCCAAAAAGGTCTGAGTAGTTGTTATCATGGTCCTATGGGGAAAACAAAAGCAGTTGCAAATGCAGAGCTGGGGGGGAATATACCAAATAATATAATGTCCACTGGGGTCAGAACATGGAACCTTATGCATTCAGGCTGTGTGCTCTGCCACTTCTAATAAATAACTGGCCCACCATTTGCCCATACTCTGATCCTGAAAAAGAAGTGGAAGTGAAGTGGAAGTGAAGCAGCTTGTGACCTCACTCCTCACCCATCAAGCCAGAGCAACAATGAAGAATAGAATGTTGCATATGAAAACCTAGAACTGATGTCCCCTCCCTCTTGGTGTAAACATCAACATACCACGGAGAAAGCTAGCAGTCTAGAGTGCCTTTTGGTTGCAGATGCTGCAGCCTGGGAACCACATTTCTCAGAAGAGCTTCCAACTAGTAGAAGGTTGTGTCTGAATTACACAACATAAGGAAGGCCAGTCACCTGGGGTTTTCTTCTGCCCCTGGCAGCTGTTTCTGTGGGCAAGTCCTACACCATCAGCCACGCCCAAGCGATTCCTCATTTAGAAGCAGATCCAAAGCCACATAGTATTACTACATGGAAAAGCAGTTGGTCTCTGGATACATCTGCAGGCGCTGTGAGGATGAGGGAGAAAAGGAGCAGTGGACATATCTTGAATAAAACTGGCACCTGGACGGACTTTCATCTAAAGGGTCCCCCAGCTTGCTGCCATTCTCCGTGATATGTTGCTCTTTACACAGAGCTTCCCCAGTCTGTGTTTCTGTTCCAGGTTTCCATGTGTAGCCTTGTGTTCCTCATTAATGCTTTTGCTTGATTGGAAAGGACTGCTCCTACCCCAAAACACAGGAGGCCACTTTGTGACCTCTTTTAGCCCTGATTAGGGTTATGTGAGCATGATCAGTACATCCTTTTTCTCCATCTGTGTTTGGTAACGATGATAACGTGCTGTGGGATATGTGCACTGCAGGATGCATGTTACATAATTGCTGTTTGTTGCTTTTTAGGTGATGAGTTTAGCAAAATCTAATCTCCATATGATCTGCTTTCAGGATTCAAGATGATTAAACTTTTCCTTCTCCTCTCTACAGTGCTTTTTTGGTTAAGTTAAAAAATAGAAATGAAAATA